TCGTCAATAGCCATGTTGGGTCCAACTCCCACGTTAAGGACTTCCCAAGCCATTAGCGAGCACCCATTATCTCAGCAACACAAACTGACACGAACAGACTCCCCAATGTGTATAGTTGTTGCAGATTGTTGGGGCATGTAAACTAAAGAAACTAAAATGAACCTTTTTGTATTTTACCAGATAAGGCCCACTGAGCAATACAGTTCTTTTTCAGAAATGACCTGACCGCAGATGACAGCTCAACTAAGTGGCTTATCGTATGGAAATTCATAGCAGCAAAACACTCTAAACGAATGATTCTTAATGTGGAGGGAAAAACCGGAGGACCTGGAGAAAAATCCACGCGACCACGGGGAGAACATGCAAACTCCAAATATACAACAGGCGTCAGGGTCGGGATCGACCTCCTGCATACCAGGGGAGGTCGTTAACATCTCGCCATTGCGGCGTATGTGTTATTAGTGAGCACGAATTAATGTGCTCACGGTAATTGAGGGGGTTACGTTGCCAGCACCACACTCAGCAACCTGCGTCTCTCCCTTTGCTGATTTTTACACGCGGCACAATGTACTCATTTAAGGCCGAGTCGACCTAGGGGAAGCCCAGGACCCGTTAAAATAATCGCTACTGTCATTGGCCGTGAGCGAGAATCGAACTTGCGTCGCAGAGTTAGTGGCACAGTGCGCTAACCACTCCAAAAACAAAGATCCCCCGTATAGCCTGAACAGACTGTTGGGGCAAGTGTTGTTAGCAATCACCTATGAAGGTTGGCATGGCACACGAAGGGGTGGGTGGCCAGCATCACGCCCGGCCGCATTTGTCTCCCTAGTGGCGTTGTTTACCCACCGGACCAAGTACTCATTTGAGGCTGATTCGACCCAGGGGAATCCCAGGACCAGTTCAATTGATCGCCACCGTTGTTGACCGTGAGCGTGAATCGATCTCGGGTGGCAGAGTTCTAGGCACAGAGTGTGCGAACCGCTCCACACGCACACACCAGCAACCGTGGCGTTTAGAGAGCCATTACACAAAGACGTTGGCTTTATCACGCCGCCTTTATTCCCTTTCGTGAACTTGACTACTGGCTTGCACGCACGGGGCGACATTCTACGGCTGATTGTAAATTGATAACGCATACACGTCTAACAATAGTACAGGAATGATTATATAAACGCACACACACGCACAACGACGGGGTCCATCAGCAACAATGGCAAATGTCATGCCCAGTCTTGTCCCCAAGCGGGTCCGTGATAATTGCCGTCGGCTCCCAGACGCGTGGGGACGGGGGGAGTGCGGTCGGAGCCTGCAAGCAAAATCTCTCTCTCCAGAGAGACTTTTGACTTTTAAACAACTTTTATTGCCGCCAGCAGCAACAGCACTTGAGGCGATTCCGATATGAAATACAGTCATCAGCAAACAAACGATTAAACGCTATAAATTCACGCGCTGTGGCGCTAAATGCAGCGCGCACAACACGAAAGAAAAGTCACGTGGTGGTGGTGGTGGTGGTCATAGAGAGAGCGAATTTATGGAAAGAGTCGATCACCCCCCCCCCACCACCGCCGCAGCGGAATGAAAGGCACGAAGCGTCAGCCCAAATATTTGCAAGACACTTCAGGGTCCGTCTCTTGACCTGTGGCTGTTAAAATTTGTGTTTTATTGTGTGGTGCATGTTTGTTTTTTACAGCTCTTCGCGCTTGCATATTGACTCGGGTCAACCGTTTCACCGCTTTGGGGATTTCACAATAAGAGACCCGGGATGGAGGAACACGTGACCGTTAAACACCTCGTTGGTTTGCGCAATTATCTTGTAAGAACCTCGCTCTTCTCGTTCTCTGCAATATTTATGTTTCTTTCTTTGTTTGTTGTCGCTGCTGCTGTTGTTGTGCTCGGTCACCACGGATGGTCCCCGTGTAAAAAAAATGTCGAAATGGGATCTCACTCCTTACTCTTTGGTTTTTTCGGTAAAGTCACGTAGGTATAAAATAAAATAAATCACGACGTTTCGGCCGCAACACAAGCGTCCATCATCAGGTGGGAAAGCTTGTGTTGCGCCTGAAACGTCGTGATTTATTTAATTTTCTACCTACGTGACTTTACCGAAAAAACCAAAAAATATGGATTCCTGCAGTCACGAAAGCTTCAAATCAAGATCTCACTCCTTGGTAACAAATATTTATTATTATTATTATTATTCAAATGTCTAATGCGCATTCCAAACCTAGGATCCCAATGCGCAATGCATGAAAAGCAAGAAACAAAAACAGAATCAGGGGGGCAACCGACCAAACTCAAGAGGGAAGGTTCAGTTTGAAAAGATGGGTTTTCAAAGCGGAGTTAAATCGACCTACCGACTCCGATTACCTGAAATTACATTCTGCACTGAAAACGTGGATTTAGGGAACGATTCGCAAGTCAAGAGGGCATCGCTCAGCCAGTCCGGCAGACTCGAGACGGGGGTGTTCTGTAACGAACTTGCAAAGCATCACCCAGGGAGCCTTCCACGATCGTCTCCGTGCTATGATAATGGCGAAGATAGCAACAGCGTCATTCCTCGTCACTTCTCCTGTTCAATTTTATTTCCACGTTTGACTGCTAATACAAGTAGGGCAAGGCTGGGTTCGGACACGTCCTAAAATGGAATGAGGGCTTGTACTCGAGACTCACATCGGAGTGGGAACCAGCCAAAGGAGGGCATAGAGATGGAGCGAAGTCATTCGGATCGTGTTCGGGCGGTAGATGGATTACCTACAACGTAGGGTCCACGTTCTTCTTTCGAACGGGCTGATGTTGTAGATGCGAGCAACAGCTACAATTTCAGCGAAGTTGTGTAATCGCTGTGATGTCTCCTTCGTATTTGTGGATCGGGGCATTGCGTCGTTATACGCTGTGCACCCTGTTCTGATGACCACAGTAGCACACTACTGGAGAGTTTTATTGATTTACTTCCAAGTAAAGGGTGCATCGGGTATCCGCATCTGCCATGGTTTGTGCAGTGGATGCGGCTTTTAGGGTGGGCCATGAGCTTCGTCGAAGATCAAACCCAGAGGTCTGCAGGGTCCATGAGAGAAGACGACGGCTGGCGGAAGCTGGCGGAGGCTTTCATCCACGAGAGGATCGATGGCGGCTCGGATTGTTGTGTTGTAAAGGCCGCAACGCGCGTGGTTAGCGGCCCGCTGCAGTTTTATTTCACTCAAAGGTGAATGGGCGCTGTCATTCAACGCGTTACCAGCCGATACAACATGAGCACGTGGGTTGGTGTCATTTTATACGCAGTAAGAGTTGTAAATATGTAACTGTCGGTTATAAACTCGAGCATAACAATACTATTACTGATAGAATGAACCCACAGCAAATGTGCATGTCAGTGGAAATTGTTGGGAACTTGTAGGGTCACTGGGAAAGCATTTTAATTGAATGTATTCGTTGAAACCGCAATTTGTGATAGAGGCCGACTCAGAGAAAGAGAGACATGGGACGACTCAGAGAGAGAGAGAGAGAGAGGGGACGACTCAGAGAGAGAGAGGACGACTCCCAGAAAAAGAAAGAGAGAGGACGACTCAGAGAGAGAGAGAGGGATGATTACTCAGAGAGAGGACGACTCAGACAGAGAGAGGGGGAGGGGCGACTCAGCGAGAGAGAGGACGACTCAGAGATAGAGGGAGGACGACTCATAGAGAGGGGGGGGCGACTCAGAGAGGGGGGGGCGACTCAGCGAGAGGGAGGACGACTCAGAGAGAGAGAAGGGGGAGGGGGGGACGACTCAGATGCGCCAGGAGGAGGAACCACAGCCAAGGAGCGGGAACTCAACAGCAGCAGCCGTCAGGCAGTGCCAACTTCCCTCCAAAGCTCTGCAGTCCTCTATATATCAGGTTGTTATTGGTCAATTAATGAGTGTTCACGTGTGTTCTGGCACATTCATCCTCCTCGATAAAAAACAAAAACATCACAGCCAATGAGAACGACGGATACATTCCTCCTTTAATTTCATCGCATGCAGAAAGGTGCGTTCAAGATATGCCCATGTATTATTTACGTAACCGTCATTTTAAAGCGCGGCGTTACTACAACAGCCGAGGAGCCGCCACTACACAACTCTGGAAACAAAAGCCGTTCAAAGCCGTCAAGACCCCCCCATACCACCACAGCCCTGGTTACCTGCCCTGGTTACCAATCGTCACAATGGTGCAACTTGTGACTGCTACATTTATCACGCAGGCGTTAGCGACCGATATTCTTTCATCGTAAAGTTGTCGTCTTCTTTATGGCAATCGCCTGATGATTCTGGTTGCTGTAAATCACCGGCGAAACGTCGTTAACTCAATTGTAAATGTATATTTAGTTTCCGTGACGTGTTTACCTTTCCTATACTTTGCACTCCCATCGTGTTTTTGAACTCTTTGTTGTTTATAACGTTTTGACCCGCCCCTACTGGACATCTGTAAAAATAGCTTTATAGCTCATCGGATTCCTCCAGTCTCATTCAATGTTTTGACTCTGAAATTTTGGGCTGTGGGTTTGCTCTCCAACACCACGGGTGGCGCTGAAGTAGTTAACTGACTGGCACGTTTTGTTCACGTGACAAAACGTCATTCATTGGCTGCGTCGGGTGGAGGTGGGTTGACGACACATTCACATGTGGCGTGACTGCTACATTTCACTTTGTGGGGTGGAGGAGCAAAAACAATCTTGAATATAGCCGGGCCGTGGTGGATATTCACGTGGTCTGTACATTCCAGCAGTGCAGGAAGCAGCGAAGGTTGGTGGATCACACGCGGGTGATGTGGAACCCCCCCTCCCCTGGCTTCAAGGGGGCCCGGGGCTGCTACGAAAATTTTGGGAACGGCCCTATTTGTCTATTTAATCGTTTCCTTTCACCGTTTCCCCAGCAGCACCGGTCCCCGATACAAATCACCCCATTGCTATCCATCTTGAAGATTATTATCAGCTCAAGTTTGTTTAGTTAAATATGAAACACGGATTAGAAAGCTCGAGCCTCAACAAGGAACACAGATATTTTAATATCCGCACGTGGCTTTGCGTAACACGCATGTATGTACGTTCACCTTGTGTCGCACCGGAACGTAGCCAACCGTGCTATTCGGAGGCGTAATAAACTTTAATCACGAAACGATTATAGTGCACAGAGCAATGTATCGTAGCGCACCAATACTACAATGCATTTTGACCGCAAGATGGAACAGCACCGCATGGGTCGCGTGCCATTTGGAGGGGCCTTCAATTTCCAAGGCCACTAATGCCACCCTCCGCTGCGTTAACCTGGCACCGATCACAGCCGCCTACGTGGACATTGCATTCGCGAGAAGTGTGCGTACGTGTGTGTGTACGTTGGTAAGGGTGTGTGCGTATGTACGTGTGTGTGTGTGTGTACGTGCGTGTGTTCGCGTGTGTATCTATGTTGAACTTCTTTCGCACCGCATGTAGGCAACTGTGCTAATCGTGCTAATCGGGGTGTGCAAACCTGTTGCAGTGTGTAAACATCGCCACTAGAGAGACAAAGGCGGCCGGGCGTGCTGCTAGCCACCCCCCTCCTCCGTGTCGGGCTTCATATGTGCTCGCGAACAAAATTTGTTCATACAGTCTGTTAAGGCTACACGGATGATCGTTGTGTGCGTGTGTGCGTACGTGCGTGCGTTTGCGTACGCGTATGTGTGTGCGTACGTGTGTGTGCGTACGTGTGTGCGTGTGTATGTGTGTATGCGTACGTGTGTCTGTGAGTGGGTGTGTGCGTACGCGTGTGTATGTGTGTATGTATGCGTACGTGTGTGCGTGCGTACATGTCTGTGTTTGTGCGGACGCGCGCGTGTGCGTGTGCTTTTTTGTGTTGACTCGCCAACTTTTTCCGCTTAAGCTTTCCCCTTGATCTTGATGTGCGAGAAGCACAGGGCGCACGTCTCGCACAGGGGCTCGCACACGCACCGCACGATCGTCGACCAGAACATCTGCAGGCAGAGCATGTTCATGCGACACATGCGCAGGCACGGCGCCACGTTCCACACGTGGTAGAACTGCGCGCACGCGAAGTCGCAGCCCCAGCAGCACGAGAGCGGCACGGCGCACAGCACGGAGAGCAGCAGGTAGCAGAACCATTTGGCGCCGTTGTAGGTCCTGAAGGAGCACCTCCACACGCCGGGGATGCTGTGCGAACCCTCCGGCTCGGCGAACACGTCCTCGAAGAGCACCTGCCGCGTGGCCACGTGGACACGGACACAGAGAGAGATTACGACAAAGAGGTGTCACCACTTACCCCATCCTCCTACTGTCACACCGTAGAGCCAACACAGGTTGATGGGGCCCAGAACCACGTCTAGCCATCTTGGCCTCTTAGAGTCCGGCAGGCGAGGCTGCGTTGGCTGGGTCACGTAGCCCGCATGCCCAGCCACCGCATGCCCAAGCGGATTCTATTTGGCCAGATGGAGGATGGCTAAATGGGCGCGGCGTGGGCTGGAGAAGCGAGGGACTAATATGCTACAGGAAGATGTGGAGCCGAGTTGGACCTGCCGCGGATGACTGGGACCAGCGGTGTCAAGATCGGCCTCTGTGGAGGAGGCTCGTGAAGAACGCCGCTACTGGGCAGTTAGAGGCAGTCGCCCTCCAATAACAACGGAGGGCAGAGGAGCGACGCTCACAACAACGAGCGGAGCGCCGGGTGGAGAAAATGCAGCGTGGGCCTGTCCCGTGACCTCCTGTTCGCGAGCCTTCGACACTTCACGTGGCCTCAAAGTGCACCTGGCCTGGCACAGGCCCCATGATGACGTCACCGTCACTTAGTAGGGAATGGGGAGGGGGTATTGTTATTGGTAGTGTCGTGCTTAGCGCGCTGCGCTACAAACCCGGCGGCACGAGTTCGACTCCTGTTAACGGCCAATACCAATGGCAATTATCTGAACCGGCCTCCTCTAGTTCAACTCAGCCTCAAATTAGTACTTGGTGCGGTGTGTAAACATGACCGCTGGCAGCCGGGCGTGGTGTTGGAAGGCCACTACTGGGCAGTTGGAAGCAGTCGCCCTCCAGCAACAACGAAGGACGGAATGAGCGGCAGCGTCTCTCGTCCTGGCGAGCGGACCTCGCCACTGGCTCTAAGCTCGTGAGTGCGAGGATGGAATGGAACAGGCGTGCATAGGCGTTCATGTTTTCGCGTGAACCGCGGTGGCGAGATGTTAACTCCCTGGCCCGGTGTACAGGACGTCTCGGGTTCGATCCAGACCTTGACGCCTGCTGTATGTTCTGAGTTTGCGTGTCTCTCTCTCCGGGTCCTCAGGTTTTCCCCTCCACATTTGGAATCAACGTCACGCGTTTAGAGTATTTGGCTGCTGTACATTTCCACGTGATTCGTCACTTTGTTGAGCTGTCATTTGTGTCTAGGTCGTTTCTGAACACGAGCTACATAGCTCAGTGGCACATCACAACCGGTTAGCACGGTTGGCTACGTACGGTGCGAAGTCCAACATACATACAACATGCGATTGATCAGTATCAATAGCACGCACATCAAATGTCACGAGGAGTCATCGGAGGGTCCTCCTGCATGGGGTTTAAACAAAGCACAAATATTAAGATGTTTTCAGCCTATTCGCGAGTGTCTACGAATTGATATTGAGAATGTCCAACTCAGTGGCCAGAGGTTGTTTTCCGTCCAGTGCTCGCCGAACTGCATTGGCTTCCGGTTGCTGAATGATTACATTGTCAGGTAGCGCTCACCACACACAGAGTGCTGGCCGCAAATGAACCACGATACTTTGCTGAACTCATCCAGGAGCAGAAATCATCACGCGAATTCCGATCATCCTCGCAGCAGCGGCGGCGGCTTTTGGATGGCCATCGAACAAAGACGGTCACCGCATCGCGCACTTTCAGACGCGCTTCTGCGGCCGTCTGGAACGCTCTCGCTTCCGATATTACGAAGCCACTGGAGCTGTGCGCTTTTAAATCATCGTCTAGATTGAAAACTAATTTCTTGAGAAGTTATTTTTGTGTCTAGTTTGTTGTCCTTCCCCCGCACCTACGATTATCGCGGTTGGCTACGTACGGTGCGAAATAAGTTCAACATACATACATTTCTGCTACTGCTCCCATCGCTACTGCTGCTGATACTAATGATAATGCTGCTGATGATACTGATAATGACGATGATGCTGATTAATGATGATAATGATGATGATGTTGATAATGATGATGCTGATAATAATGATGATAATGATGAGAATGCTGATAATGATGACGCTGATGATGATGCTGATGATGATGATAATGACGCTGATTATGATGACGCTGATAATGATGACGCTGATAATGATGATGATGATAATGACGCTGATAATGATGATGCTGCTGATGATGATAATGACGCTGATAATGATGACGCTGATAATGATGATGCTGATAATGATGCTGATGATGCTGAAAATGATGACGCTGATAATGATGACGCTGATAATGATGACGCTGATAATGATGACACTAATGATGATGATGCTGATAATGATGATTATGATGATGCTGATAATGATGATACTGATGACGCTGATAATGATGATGATGATGCTGATCATGATGATTATGATGATGCTGATAATGATGCTGCTGATAATGATGCTGATAACGATGACGCTGATTATGGCACAACGCAGCGACACCGCCTGAGCACGGCTGCAGTGCGGAAAACTCACCCGCACGTGGCTGTTCATGTCCTTCGGGTCCCGGTGTTGCAAATCAAGGGGCAGCGCGGCATCTGGGATTGACCTGGGCTCCATGTCTGCCGTGTGACTCTCGATCGGGATGTGGGTGCTGGGGGGGCTGTCTGTGTAGGTGTGGGGGGGGGGGGGCTGCTGGCTCTGCGTGTCCGCTCTGGCGTGCAGTGGCAAAGAGCCGTGGAGAAGCGAACTCCGTTCCGTTCTTATAAAGGCGGTCACGGTCCCCCACGCACGCGTGTGCGATCGTTTCCAGGCGACAGACAGACCCAAGCGTTTGACGCAGCTCCTCCCTTCCCGACTTTGTCGCCTCGCCTTGCACAAGTCGCTGATTCGAACCGCGCGCACAACAACAACTGCAACACAAAAATAATCATCAAGCCATCATCCCGCGCCGAGGGTCGATAACATAGCTACCACTTTGCGGGGGGCGAGTCGATGTTGTGGTTGTCCTCTGGATAGACTCGCCCCTGGGAATCGCCTGATCAAGATGCCTGTCGACACAACTGTGTCTGGATGTGCCCGTAACCATTTCTCTATTGTTATATATATTTTTGTTAATTGATTTGATATCTTCTTGGTTCTTTCGGTAAAGTCACGTAGAATGGAAATAATAAAATAATAAAAATAAAACATAATAAAATAATTCTCTAGACGTTTCGGCCACAACGCAAGCAGCCGTCCTCAGGTGAAGAACAGGTTGTCGATAAGACAGAGTCTGAATGATTTGATATGTTTTTGTATTCACCACTTAACTTTCGCATGCGATTTGTTGAGCAGGGTGGCACTTTAACCTGATCAGTCGCTGTTACGGGGGGAGGGGTTATATGGCCCGTTCCATGGTAATGAGAACCGGGGTCCACTTTATTGAGGCATAGAAAATGAAGGATTGCTTGAGTGATGTCTGTATTTTTGTTGTTGTAAGATTCAAAACCTGACTTCAGAACTGATTGTTTTGTGTTTAGTTCGTTGTACTTCCCCCGCAACGCTGAATACCACTGTTGGCTACGTGCGGTGCGAAAGAAGTTCAACATACAGGACAGTAAATACATTATTGCGTTAGTTTCCCTTGTCATTTCCCCCGAAATGTTATTCCATCGGCGTCACGCGGTCGTCGGATGAACAAATTCTGATTCTGGTTTCTCGCAACGCAGTGCGACCCTTCTTGGGAAGAGAACGGCGCACGGAAGTGGGTATCGCAGACCTACTAAGGGGCCGTCCATAAATGACGTCACGCACCTGGGGGGGGGGGTCAGACATTTGTGACGATGTGGGACGAGGGGGGGGGGTTGAGAACAACACTCCTACAATATCAGAGTGCAGCGCCACATTAAATACGCACTACAATGACAATAGTTAAAAACGATTTGAAGCATGTTTTATTTCAAAATGGAAATATGGTTTGGGGGGGGGGGGCAAAGCTTTGTGACGTCATATTTGAGGGGGGGGGGTCTGACTTTTTGTGACGCCGTGTGACGAGGGGGGGGGGGGTCAAAAATCGTTCAAAATCTCGTGACGTCATTCATGGACGGCCCCTAACTCTGAGTGACCTCTGACCCACACAACAGTAGAGGGCAGCACTTCCCTGCCACACCGCTGCATGCGGCTGTTGATGTTCGTCAGTTCAAAGCGATAACTTTTCATTCTCAGAGATATAATTAATGCTAATTAAGTTCCGAACTGTAATAACCTTTACGTGACGGATTTTAGTCTGCGTGTGTGAGCAGTCATTGGTGGTGAGCGGTCGTGTCGGGGTGAGCGCGCTGCGTTACGAACCCGGCGACCCGAGATCAATGACCGCTCACTGCCACCAACATCATATCTGAACCGTTTCTGGGCCTCCCCTAGGTCGACTCAGCCTCAAATAAGTACCATATGCCGTTAGGGAGCCAAAGGCGGTCGTACGTGGTGCTGGTGTTGGAGTTTTGTTGGTGGCGTTGTTAGTGGTGCTGTTGGTGTTGTGTTGTTGTTACTGTTGTGTTGTTGTTGTGTTCTTGTTGTTGTGTTGGTGATGTTGTTGGTGGTGCAATAACGATAACCTGAACTGGTCCTGGGCCTTCCTTAGGTCGACTCAGTCTCAAATTAGTACCTGGTGCGGTGTATAAACATCGCCACTGGGAGGCAAAGGCGGTCAAGTGTGGTGCTGGCCATCCACCCCCTCGTGTACCGTTCCGGCCTTCATAGGTGCTGCTCGCTAACAGCACTTGCCCCTTTAGTCTGTTCAGGCTACACGGAAGATCTTTGTCTTTGCAGTCATTGGTGACCACCTGAGATTAGACTGTCAGTTCGCTACACTTGAAAACGAAGAGTGGCTGAAACTCGGATTCGAACCCAGGTCTCATCGGTGGTGGCTCAGTGCCCTGGACCTCTGAGCCACTCAGCTGTATCCGTCACCAGTGCTTCTCGCTCTCTCTTGGCCCACTGATCAGAGTCGATTCTAACCGTGTGCATGATGGTGGCAGCAATCTGGTCCAGGAGCTAAATGCCAATGTCGAGGTCTCCTAGCCACGACGAGAGGGCTTCAGCCGAGTTCGTGTCGCTCTGTTGTTCCCCTTCCTTTGAAGGGGCGCAGACCACAGTGGGACTGCTGTGTGGTCCATTGTTTGAGTTGCTTGGCCACAATCGGACGACTGTGACCCGTGTCTTTAATGCATCTATATGTGTCTCTCTGCATCTCTATGTGTCTTTATGCATCTCTACACGTCTCTATGCACCTATATTGGTCTCTATGTAGCTCTGTGGGTCTCTGTGGGTGTATTGTACGGTCCATTGTTTGGGTTGCGTGGCCACAGTCGCGCTACTGTGTCTTGTGACTTCAATGTCTCCATTCATGAAGGCGGTGATGCGCATCATCCCGGTGATGTTGTGACCATGGGGTTGGTGGTTACACCACCGGTGTCTGCGAGGAGGAGGAACGTCAGAGCCAGGGAGGCGAGGTGCGATTGTGTTTCGGGTCACGAATGGGTATCGACCAGATGATGGCGATAGAGGCTTGAAAATGCAAGAGAGACGTCGAATCGGTCGTTGAGCGCTTGAGACACGCGAGCCCATTTACACTGGTAGGAACCTCCTGGTTACACCAGCCCACAGGGGATTATTCTGTCCGTCCGTCCGTCGTGCATCCAAAAATTGGAAGGGTGGGGCTGGGTGGAGAGGGGAAAATGGGGAGGGGCTGGGTGGGGCTGGGTGGGGGGTGGGAGGGGAGGGGCTGGGTGGGGCTGGGTGGGGGGTGGGAGGGGAGGGGCTGGTCACCCCGTGGTGCCCTTATAAAACTCAACGTTTAACCTACTCACGCCGGCTTGTGCCCGCCCTCACAGTCGGCCATATTTGCGGAATACACCACGCCGCCGTTGACCCTGGCAATTGACCGAGCAACCCAACGTTCCTACCAGCTCCATCCGCAGGAATGTGTTGTTGCCGCATTCTGCCCATTTATATTCACAGGGTTCCATCGCTTTATAAGTCAGGACACATTACGTTTATTTCACCAATGGCGTTGAACATATCCAACGTGTAATTGTTTATTTTTTTAAAGTTAATATTTGTATTTATCATCGTTATTCATATCGGTTTTTTTCGTCTTATTTTGTTTCAGGTGACGTTTACAATGTCCGTCCAGTGCTCGCTGGGCAGCATTGGCTTCCGGTTGCCGAACGAATACATTGTAAGGTCGCACACATTACACACAAAGTGCTTGCCACAAGTGAACCACGATACCTCGCTGATCTCGTCAAGAAGCATAAACCATCACTGCACACTCCTATCATCATCGCAGTAGCGACTTCTGGCTGGCCATCGAACAAAGGCGGTCACCGCATCGTGCGCTTTCAGATGCGCTTCTGCGGCCGTCTGGAACGCTCTTCCTTCCGACATTAGGAGCTCTGCCCCTTTAAATCATCTGATTTAAAACTCGTTTCTTTAGAGCTGCTTTTTGTGATTAGTTTGTTGTCCTTCCACCCGCACCTCCGATTAGCACGGTTGGCTACGTACGGTGCTAAAGAAGTTCAACGTACAAACAACACTCGACGAAGAACCCAGAATGAATTAATTGAGACGACAACATATATTTGATAAATGTTCAAAGATTACACAACTGCAACCAATAAAAAAAACTAAGTCCTGAATAAATTTCAAAAGAAAATTAATGCATTAATGGAAGCGAGATTGAACATGCGTTAAAACAAATTAACTTATCCTATATGATTTGTTAAATAAATATGAAAACCCTGTTTCCTGACTTTTGACCCACCCTATGTATATATCCATATTTCTGCATATATATGCTTACTGTATGCAACGTCTTGCTTGCTATAAAATAATTGCCTTTGACCGAGTGACATTAAAATTCGGGTGTCTATTTTTATTTTTGTACGGATAGTATTCGACTTACACAAGAAGTAAACTAAAAGCTATAATCATTTTTTTCACCAGGTAAGGCCCACTGAGCTATGAAGCTCTAATTCAGAAGCGACCTGGCTACAATTTTTTGCTCAACGAAGTGGTTTATCATCGCAGCCTAATACTCTTTAACGTATGTTTCTAAATGCGGAGGGAAAAACCAGAGGACCCTGGGAAAAAAAATCAACGTTACCACAGGAAGAGAAACACACAAACTCCAAATGTACAGGCGTCAGCATCGGGATCGAACCCACGACCTCCTGTATACCAGGCAAGGCAGTTAACATCTCACCACTGTGGCACCCAGTAGTCTGGAATTCGTCCTTACACGCTGTCTCCATTCAGTGTGAAGGGCCCTGCTACTCGCGTTCGGAAGACCGGGAAACCGGCCAACGTGGTCACCGTTTGTGATGTCACTTACAAGCCTTTGCGGCTCAGCGAACTGGAAAGTCGCTTCTTTGCGCGAGCTCCTGAAAGGAAATGAGCTGCGTGCAGAGTAAAACAACGAGCCTCGTCTGTGAGCCATCAACTGGCAATGTCACCAGCCCCTGCGTGTGTAACGATGGGCTGTGCGGATTAGAGGCGCAGCCGCGTGATTGCTCGCTCACGACGCTGCTGGCGGAAGGGCCTCCCCGCTAGAAGCTCGCTCCAGATGGCCTCTTCCTAGGGGACTTTTTGTTTAACCTACTCCCCACGCTGACCATACACATTAGAACAAG